ATTCTTTTCTCATCCTTTGCCATTATCCAGCTCTCTGATGCATAGCAAGTAATTGCAAAGACCATGGACTGGATCAGGTACACCTTATTCTCTAAACTGACGTCATTGCTTCTCAGTACACTGGAAAGGTCCCTGACAGCAGATTTACCCAATTCGTCTTTTAATTTCCCGACTGCTGATACCAAAAGTGTTGATTGTGGAACCGAGCAAGCTTTAACTGTTAACAATCTCAATCTCTTCTCCATCCATCATGGTGCTTCCAGTTGCCCCAGTGGTGAGAATCTTTGTCTTCTTGATGGGCTTAAATACATATTTTGACCTTCTGCAGCAAGTGCTTCAGGTCCTCCTCAATTTCAGCAATCAAGGCCATGTCATCTGCACAATGTAGGTTGTTGATGAGTCTTCCTCCAATTCTCATGTCACATTCTATAGACATTGAATGATCTCAACCTTTTCCATCATTTGTTCCAATTTATTTTCTTAACAATACATGACAACTCAGCTCTATTTCACCAACATCATCTCTCCCTCTTCAATTTTCTCTTCCCTCCAACTTCCTTACCACCGCTATTTCACTTTTCTCTCCTTGGGCCACCACAAAAGCCTTAAATATTGATAGAGATGTGAAGAAATCTGGTTTGGGTGAAAACCTCTTCCCAGAGCAGCTGTGATTGGTGTGGACTCTTGCTGGCACCAGGCAAAGGTAAATAAAAGGAGCATGAAGTTTCTGGGGAGCAATTTGTGACAGAAAAAAAAAATAGTATGAGATTCTCTGAAGTAGCTAAGTATCAGAAGCATTGATAGACATCAACTAATCACAAACTGCTACTCATCTCTCTTTTGGGAAATTAGAATTGCTTTTTTAAAATGTAAAAACCTAACACTTAAGTTTACTCAATTTGTGGTTGTTATGTGCCATTGAGTCACCTGCAATTCATAATGACTATATTGGAGGCAGTCATCAGAATAGAGCAAGGGAACACTGCATGGTTCAAAATTGGGAAGGGTGTATGCCAAGGATGTGTGCTATCTCCATACCTTTTTAATCTATATGCAGAACAGATTATCCAGGGGCCTAGGCTGTATAAGAAATTTGGCATCAGTATTGGAGGAAGAGCTTTAGTTTGCTTGGCTCCACAATCAACACTCTTGGTACCATCAGCGAGGAAATTAAAAGACATACTGCTAGGAAAGTCTGCTGTCAGAGACATCTCCAAAGTACTGAAGAGCAATGATGTCAGTCTGGAGACTAAGGTGTCCATGATACAGGCCATGGTCTTCACAATCACTTGCTATGCATCAGAGAGCTGGATAATGATTAGAGATGATAGAAAAA